CAGCGTTTGACTTTGCAGCCATTTTCAGCAACAGTCTAAAATTAAGATAGAAGCATTTTAGAATTAATAACAAGATAGGCCTATTAATTCAATGAATTCATATAAAAATGATTTATTAGAATATATTTTATTATTTTTATAATGGATTCGGATTGTCACAAATAAAGTTTGAAACCCTACTAATGGTTCAACACAGCATTAAGCAGGTTGTCTATAGTTCCTACAACTGTTTAATAGAATGATCAAATAAATATGAAATCAGCACAAAGTAAGAAACTAATTGAAACTATTATAATTACCTTTATTGAGAGTTTACATCAATGTATTAAATAAATTCTGTATAAATTCACAAGTTTGCTGAAATAATTCTCATTTGCTACATTGACAATGACATCATCATAGAATATCTAAATTCTAAAAACACTAAATAAATAAGTAATGCAAATGCAATGGTGCTTTACAGTCAGTAACCTTATCATAAAGATTGGTCAAATGGACAGATTATTTTCTGTTGTTACAATTTTATCGCGGACTCGCGGGTAACCCAATGCTGATGCATATTGAAAAACCTTTGGGGCCATTGAGCAACCCCTAAATATTAATTGATTAGGGATCTTTTTGGAAACATGACTAAATATTGAAAAACGAACAAAATGAGCCTATGTGCACTAAAATCGGAAGAAATTTTTTTTCCTCCATGTATATGTGGACATCCCTAATATATATATATATATATATATATATATATATATATATATATATATATATATATATATATATATATATATATATATATATATATATATATATATATATATATATATATATATATATATATATATATATATATATATACATACAGTGGTTAGTGCGCTGAGCTTCTGAAAAAAAATCATGGTTCAAATCCAACCACCGGTGACCATTTTTTTAAAACTTTTTTTAGATTTTCAAAATACAAAATACTTGTGAAGTTTTATAAAGATTATATACAAAAATATCTAATGACATTATACACTTTAATAAACAAAGAGATTTTTAAAAAAGCTAAAAATTCTTAAAACATTAAAAAACGGGGGAATATTTGTTTTGTATGTGTCATGATTGAGATACATATGTTATTTTAGTTTAAGTTATTTTAATTTTAATTTTACAATTAAGTTGAGTTTGTGCAAGAAAAATGAGTATACAACATGTTTATAAATAGAATATAAAATCTATAGAACTGTAAAGTTGTTTTGTTTTGCATTTTAAATAGCAAAATGTAAAGAATAAAGCAAGCTAATGACTTGCCACGCGGCGACCTCAACTTTTATAAAACAGTAAGGGAGTTCAAAAAGTATGTTTCATTTAAGAACATAATTAAAAATTCTAATTTTATACTTTAATTAAACCATTTTTTTAAATTAAATACTTTTAAAAAATAATTAAAAGTTGAAGTTATTTAATATTGATACAATAAAGAAACTTAGAGTTTTACAGCTATTTTATCATGTTCCCGTTAAACATTCTAAACCAAGTGTGTAACAAGAACAGAAATTAGATAACCATCAAAATAGTATTATACTCTCTTATTTTTTGGCTTTGTCTACTTTTTGGCTGATCCCTAATCTAAACTTTTAAGATATTGTCCATAAATGCGTAATGTATGGACAATATCTTCACAAATGCTTCACAAATGAACAAAACAAAAAAGATAAAAATTTTCCCTCGCAAAGTCATATGTTAAATAAAAAATCAAAATAGCTCATCAAGTTTAATTGAAATCGCCACCTTAAAGAACTGAAGATCTCCTTTTTTAAAAAATATATTTAGCGATGCGTAATTTATGGACAATCCCTTATCTTTATCAAATGTTGAGTTTGCAGGCAGTATATGGAATAGTTGTTATAATAAATCTATAAAAATGAGAAAACTTTTTTTTTAATTGTTATAAAATTTTGTTAAATTATTTTAAACTTTTAATTATTATAAACTTTTTTTTAATTATTATAAAACTATTTTTTAATTATTATAAAATTTTTTTGTAATACAATTATTTTTTTAGCTATAAACATTGCTATAATTATTATAGATTACTATAATAATTACTATAATAAATATTTTGCTGTAAATATTGCTATAAGCACATCAAAATTGAAAAATAATCAAAATTTATTAGAGGAGGTCTTTAATCCCCCAAAACGTCACTGATGACAGCGCACTAAACCACTGAGCTATCAATTATATGTCTTTAGGAGAAAAACAAACCTAATTATAAATCTCTTATAAGCTCTAGGTATGCTGAAAAGGTGCGCACATTAATTTTTTTGCTCTTAAAACAGTTTTTTAAAATAAAGTATTTTGCATAAAAATATTGAAGTAAACAAATCATAGGTATAGAAGTGATCGGTGTGGAATAGATAAGTATATAAATGGTAGGTTTGGTAAAGACCCGTATTTTAAGGGTCCAGAAAGCTAGGATATATATAAGTATAGTAAAGATCAGTGTGGAATAGAATTACAAAAACCCGTATTTTTATGGGTCAGATCAGCTAGTATATATATATATATATATATATATATATATATATATATATATATATAATATATATATATATATATATATATATATATATATATATATATATAGACAACAAAGCAACTTTTTAAATAAGCCTACTGTCTGATTTGGAAATCCTACAGAGAATGAAGTAGGCAGAATTTCAAAAGTTCTTTTATCAAATATCAGCAAAACTTTATTTAAATCAATGTCAAAGCACCCAAGACATAACAAATTGGTTTAATTACATACATTGATTCCAACCGAGGTAAGACTGTTGGCCACATCATCAAGTGATGTTATTTTTAAGAATTCTTTTCCTGCATACAATGATGCATTAAAAAAATCTGGATACAATTGTACCACTAACATAACAACCAAACATAAAACCAACTCAAAGAAAAAAGCACAATATCATATAGTACAATCTACCATTTAGCAAAAATGTCACTACAAAAATTGCTAAACGCTTTCTAACCCTAGTTGAGCACCAATTCCCTGTCATTCACAAAATATTTAACAAAAACTCAAGATCTGTTATTCTTGTATGCCTAACATCAAATACATAATTGGATCTCACAATAGGAATTTTTTATACAATGATAATAATAAAGTAAAAGATAAAAATTGCAATTTTGTTGATAAAATCTGCCTGTCCAATGAGCAATAAATTTCTATCTAGTAAGATTGTATATCAAGCAACAGTATGACAAAATATATATATCGACTCAAGTTAGTGTTTGTTATGCAAACCATTTAAAATCATTTAACACCTATAAATATAAACACAAATCAGAACTTTCCAAACAAATATGGGAACTAAAAGAAAGTAATTTTTTACAATCCATTAAATGGAAAGTTATTAGGAGTTGTAGGCCATACAACTAAGTTTTAAAAAGTTGTCATTTTTGTTTGAAAGAAAAATTTGAAATATACTTTTTAAAGGCACCAACTTACTTAACAAATGTGGCAAAATGGTCTCTATGTGCAGACCACATAGAGACCATTTTGGTCTGTGCAACTGTTCTGCAATGTACCAGCAGCATGAATGGTACATTGCAGAACAGTTAGATATACTGACCCTAGCTGAAAATGACGTTAGTAAAAAGGTAAAGAAGAAGATGTTGGTTTGATCAAGTAAGATGTCCCTATGGAAAAACCAAAGCTACGGGTTATTAGGAGGTCAATGGAGCTTACTGGATAGGTAGGTTTCCAAAGCTGGATTTTGTTCAATGTAGCTGAGGTTCCTGTTGGAGAGATAGAAAAATTGATAAGGGAGAAGGTTGATTTTTTTGAATGTTTTGAAAGTTGATTGTATGTGTCAACGACAGCACAGAAAGGAATATCAGACTGATCCAGGACTTTGTTGGAGGCTACAGGTCAGATGACACGAAACTAAAGAAGGACTTGACAAAAAAGTAACTCAAAAATGTTTAACTTTTAAAACTGGAAATATATATTTTAAAGAGAGTTCCTAAAATATGCGTTTTTTTCCTAAAAATTGCTTACTAAAAAAGGATTACCTATCACTATTAAATGAACAAAAATGCTTTTTTAGTTTTTTTAGCCTATTTGGACCATGAGTAAAGGAAAAGCATGAGAGGCATTTTTTTTTTGGGACATTTTAATACTAATATATATATATATATATATATATATATATATATATATATATATATATATATATATATATATATATATATATATATATATATATATATAAAAAGAGCGCGTTAATAAGCCTGACTAGAAAATGCTGAAAAACTTCAAAAAAAAAAATTTTTTTTTAAATGATAGACTGCCTGCCCAAACCAAACCCTTAGTTGATGTAGCAGCACTCCCTTGCGAGTCAGGCTATTTGTCAGTCGATGTAGCAGCACTCCCTTGCAAGTCAGGCTATTTGTCAGTCGATGTAGCAACACTCCCTTGTCGCAGCAGGCTATAAGATAGTCGATGTAGCAACACTTACGCATATTTTAAAAATGTTTTTTAATAAAACAAAAACAAAAACACCACTTATTAAAAAAAACTTTCTAGTCATTATTATTGCGGTTTTTTTAAAAAACAATAAAATTTAATGTACTTCCGCATAAATTTAATTGCTTTGACATTTCGACGACAATAAAATGCAGCTTAAGAGACAAGGTAAAAAAATTGTAGTCGAAAGAGACTTTTTTTTACCATAAATCAACCCTCACAATTAGGAAAAAAAAGGTCGGCAAATTATTGCCGTCCTCAATCTTTTTGAGACCGGCATCGGGTCGGCATAAATTATTTGATACAAAGGACTAAGGTCTGACCACACAATATAGAAACAAGGTCTGCAATTTTTTGCCGACCTCAAACACTTTTAGGTCAGCAGTTAGGTCAGCATTGCCGAATGCTGACCCTAATTCCAAAGGTTGATAAATATCCTTCTTCAACATTTATTAACAAAACATACATCAAATATATAATATACCTGCATTGCTTGACAAGCAGTTTCTAAAGTTACATTTTCTTCGAAATATTTTTCACAGACCTTAAGAAAAATATTTAAAAAATAGTTAAAATAAATTACTTTTAAGTAATTAAGTCAAAACTTAACAAGTACAAACCTTAACTAACTCCATTACACCAAATTCCAAAGCTGTAGATAATACAAAAATAACCTAAATATAAGAGTTAATGTATTCTAGATTATATGCTCCTTTAGTTGCCATGTCACATGAAAGTATTTTAAAACAAATGATTGATTCATTGATTTTTTAATATTAATAAAAATATTATTAATATATTTTTATATTTATTAATACTATATATTTTATATTAATTTTTATAGTGAGTTTAGACCAGTTATAGAAATGAAGTACACTAGAATAAAGAAGAACTGTTTTGAACAAAGCATATTTAGACAGTTGTCAAGGCAACAATAAAAACTATTAGAAGAGTTGTTAAAATACAAAAAGCAAAAATAAGACAGAGCACCCAAACAATACCTACAAAACTAAAAATGATACCTTATAAGCAATAAAATAGAACAAACATGAAAATTAAAAACATATAAAACAAAAAATTGACTGCAAAATAAAAAAATAAATTTAATGATATGGGACCAAAAAATAAAAAAAAAAAAAATAGCGGACTTTAAAACAACGTACCCCAAACTCAAAAAACAACGAAAATTTTCATTACAAAAATTCAAAATCAATTTTCAGTGGCTGATAAATTAAATTAGATTTAACCTAGTTTTCATGTTCATTTCAGTGAACAACAGCTGCAAACAAGATGACTCCTCTAGCTGAATTTATTGAAAGCATTAAAGAAGAAAAGCTAATTAATTTTCTCTATCAAAACAGACTAATCCTTGTTCATAAAGCTTGTATCTGTGGTCAGCAAATGTACAACAAATGTACAGCAAAAGTACATGTACAGCTTGTATCTGTGGTCAGCAAATGACTATTCAAAGATTTGAGCAGTGTCATGTAAGTAATGTAAATATCATACTTAATCATATCATATTTCATGGCATTATATAATTAAAATTATATTTAATTGTATAATAATCACTCATATCATATTTAATACAAGCCAAATCTAATCAGATTAGTATTTTAAACACAAACAAGCTAAAGTCTTATTTGAACTACTATTTTCTTTTATAAGGAATAAATTTCTTCATAATTTATAATCCTGTTAAATTGAATTTTGTTTAAGGTTTTTCTGATGCTTTTTTTTTTAAGGATTGACACATTTGGCAATGCAGCAGCTGTAAGAAGACAAAAACTATACAAAGTAGTTTTATTGAATGTTCAACATCTTTAAGCGTATGTGATATACTTCAACTTATGTTGTTATCGGTTTCAGAGCTCCCTCTTACTGCTACAGCTGAGTTAGTAGGGATAAGCCAACCAACTTCAGTTCAATGGTATCAGTATTTTAGAGATATCTGTTCATTTAAAGTTTTAGATGTTGTAGTTGTAAACTAGCTGGGTAGCCCAGGACACATAGTTGAAATTGTTTTTATTTTTTAAACGCAACTAAAAAATGTGGGCCATGTGGGGCTTATGACACAACAACTAAAAAAGGATATTTGACTAGAATAGAGGATCGAACTGTGAATACATTAGTACTTTTAATTCAAACTTGGATTGCTCCTGCTTCAATTATACAATCAGATGAATGGGCTTCAATCAATAGTTTAAGCAACTTAACCTATATTTATTCTACTGTTAACCATACCATAAGCTTTGTTGACCTTAAAACAGGGACCACAAACCACATTGAGTTCTTTTGGTGTAGGATGAAACGTAAATTAAAGTTTGTTTTTGGTTCTCAAGGTGATATGAAATGGTCTAAGTTGGATGAGGCAGTATTTAGGGAATATTATGAGTTTAAAAATAAAAATTTATGGCAAAATTTCAATATGTTCTTGGGTCATTTCACAATAAGTATCCTCTTTGAATTATATGATTATAAATATTTTAATTCAATTTTAATGTATGATTTTATTTTATGAATTTTTGGAGCAAATATTCGATTTTTCTAAAATGATCAAATACTGTGTGATGACAAGAAGAATATACATGGAAGAAAAGCTAAAAATGACGAGATAAGAAGAATATACATGGAAGAAAAGCTAAAAATGACGAGATTAGGAAAAAAAGACAATTAGCAGTATAAAAAAAAAAGACAATTAAAAATATAAAAAAAGCACAAAATAAAAAAATAATAAAAATATAAAAAAGCACAAAAATAAAAAAAGACAATTGGAAATATAAAAAAAAGCACTATTGAAAGAATGTAACATAATTAGAATCTAGTGAAGATATTGGATAAGAAAAAGTTTACACCTATACATAACTTTTTTTGGTGGAGTTATCTCATTTTTTGTAATTTTATTATCTTGTCACATAGCATTTCTCAAGTAGCCTTGTAGAATACCTCTTTTGGACGGGGGCTAAGAGAAGCCAACTCCAACTTAAAACACCCCCTGTCTTGGGCCTCTTGGTTGATCAGAGGGGCTGATTCCATCAACAGCTGAACAATATCAGAGTACTAACAGTGCCATGTTGCGCATTGATGGTGTCCCTGTTCGTACTTTTGGTGTGCATTGTCGAGGCCACATTTGGAGCCCTTTGTTACAACTTAGTAGAAATTGCTTGGGCTATTAAATAGTATACTGAGTACTATCTATGCTTTGAGTCAAGTTCTTCACCAAATTTAAAAATGATTAAAGTACCAAAAACTATAAAACACAAAAAATCATTGACATCACCAAGTTCTCTAAATCATTTACTAATATTCGTGATCTTTGAACTAACTTTTCTTCTGTTGAGTCTTATCTCTTACAAAGTTTACAAGACCTACTTGCTCTTTGAGACTAATTTGAGTTTGGCTGTCTCATCTTGTGATCTTAGTGTTGATGGTTATCATCCGTTAATTTGTAAAGATTCCAACAGTCACATGCTTGGCCTAGGCATTTACATTTCCAAGAAATCACCCATTTGTTGAGAAACTAGGTTTAAATCCACAAAACATTCTTTTATGTGCTTTTGTTTAGCACCACTTCACTCTATTGCCTTTCTCTTTGTTCTATATTGCTCTCCTTTATCACTTTTTCTGATGTTATTTCTGATCAAATCGACCAAGCCCTCTGTCTTTATCCATCAGTATCGTTGCTGTTGGTGACTTTAATGTTCATCACACTGAATGGCTTGGCTCTAGCGTCAGTGACTGCTGGCAATAAGGCCCTCAACTTTTGCCTTTCTCAATATCTTACTCAAATAGTCAACTTTCCAACTCACTTTCCAGATAACTCAAATTTTTTACCTTCTCTACTCAACCTATGTCTTGTTTCTGATCCTAGTCAGTTCTTAGCTTCTCTACATTCACCCTTAGGTGGTTCTGATCACAGTTTGATCTCTCTAAAACTATTATCTCATTCTTCTCGTAATCAGAATCTCCCCTACTATCGTACCTCTTACAACTACCATAAAGCTGACTGGGACTCATTCTGTGATTTTCTACCTTTTGCTAGAAATCTTTTGACTTCCTGCTGACAAATGTGCTTCTTGCATAACTTCTTGGATTCAGGCAGGCATGGAATCTTTTGTTATATCTCAGGCTTGGTCGCGAAGCGGGTGCGATCGCACTCGATAATTGACCACGGAAATATTATTTAGTTGCGAAAAACCGGCCAGATTTTTTAGTTGTTTTGAGAGCATTTCAAAAACAAACAAAAAAGCGCATTAAGATTAACTGGACCGATGGAGACAGTTAAAAAAAGAAAAATAGCTTTTAACGCGAAAAGAATTAAAGCAAAATAAATTTATTAGAGCAATTATTTTTCAAACGTCGCTCTTTTATAACTTTTTTTTATAAAATTAATCAACATTTTTTATATAAAGTAACAACTATAAAGAAACAAATGTTCTTCGATTTATCAAAGAGTATATATAATTTTTATTTATATACTTATGTCTTATTTCCAGTGCTGAATTGAGGAGGTGAGGTGGGGGTAGTAGGGCTATAGCCCCGAGACTCACAGCGTTAGGGGAAATAGTCAAGAGGACCATTCTGTATTTTTTTTAGTCATTTTTACGCTGTGGCACATAAAAAGGCCGCCAAAATAATGCATCCCCCATGCCCTGAAAATTCTAACAAGATTCAACCAGATGATTAATAACTGTTTTATGCTTCGCGTAGTTTAAAAAGTTCAACACATTTGAAACAATTCTTCTTTGTAAGATAAACAAATGAAATAATTATATCATTGAGTTACTGTAGAAATTCAATTAGCTAGATAGAAATTAACAAAAAACGTTAAATTACTTTGTGAGGAGGAAGCGGAACTGCTTTAAATACCGCTGGTGATGTTTAGTGATTGGGCTTTATAATTTTAATTAGTATTTAAAACAGAAAAACTAACTTTAACTATAACGAGTTTGTAAGAATGGCTGAAGCAAAAATAATTGAAGTTAGTAAACTAATTTCTAAGATTTTAAAAACTTTTCTTTCTTGGGAGAAAGAATCAGTTATCGGGTACGCTGAGGAAAATGGATTATTGATTAAAATTTTCTGTATTAATTTTGAAGATTATTAATAATTTCATTGAAAACGCAGTTATTATTGAAAATATTTTTGTTTACAAAATCAATAGCACAAACTGCTTTAAAAGATTACATTTGAATAAAATACACATACATAAAATTACATAAATAAAAATACATTACATACATAAAAAATACATCCCTTATACTTAAAAAATAAGAATATACTAATAAAATCTATAATATATATACAAGTTAAAAAATATAAATGTAAAACATTTATTATTGTAACCAAATAGTGTTAGTTTAAAACATTTATAGCTTTGTAGATGTGGCTTCAAGAATTAAAATAATAGTTCGTTTGATAGTATATTTTTAAAATAATTTATGCTAGAAATCTCAACAAAAACGCAACAAAATTCAAAAAATACAATTTTTAAAAATATTTCAACAGAATACTGATAAATTTCGGTTAGTATTTTTTGAACCAATAGAATTAGTTGTTCGTAGATTTGGCGGGTTTTTTGTATTCGCAAATATTCTTTTTTTATTTTTCCGCACAAGATGTTTGACAACATTCAAGTTTATGTATGTTTTCATGTAAGTCTGTAAAACAAAAT